TTTAAGAAAATTTTATATATCTAAAACTAATCAAAACTTTTTCTTCTTTCCATTCATTTCAATGCAGATGGATGCCAAGAAAAGTCCGCTGGCTTTGCTGGCCCAGACCTGCTCACAGATTGGCGCCGACTCGTCGGCAGTGAAGCCGCTGCTGGCCGTGGACAAGAGCAAGAAGTCGGGCACCTGCTCCTCGTCCTCCACCTCGTCCAGCTCGTCGAGCAGCGCCGACATGGGCGCGGCCAAGTCGCCCAGCCAGGCCAAGTCGCCCAAGTCGAGCACGCCCATCAGCAGCACCATCGGCAGCACCACGCTGGGCGGCGAGGTGAAGCTGGCCTTCAAGCCGTACGAGACGAACGTGCTCAGCCAACAGAATCAGAACAGCTTCAAGAGCAGCGCCAGCGAGGAGCTGCCGCGGCCCAGCTCCAAGAGCTCCACGGGCGCGCAGGAGCGCGTGCCGTCGCGCAACAAGTCAAATGCCACGCCCACAGACGCAGCACAGTGCAAGCCGGAGCCCCTAGCCACCACGCCACATGACGCCAGCCGCAAGACCGTCTCGCCCGCCGGCAGCTCGCAGCGCGGCGCCAGCCCCATCGTGCGCTCCGGCATGGAGGTGCTGAACAATGCCAACGGCACCGCCCAGCATCCCAAGGAGATGAGCAGCATGGCCGCTGCGGCAGCTGCCGCCGCAGCCGCGTACAAGGCGGCCGGACCGTACGGTCTGAATCCGTTGTCGGCGCTCTGCTGCCCGCCCGGCATGGAGCAGCATGCGAATCCCGCCTTCCGGCCGCCGTTCGCCGGCGGCTTCTCGCACCATCATGCGGCGATGCTGGCCGCAGCAGCCAATGGCGGCTATCCCGGAGCCGGAGCCGGCCCGGCCGGACAGCCCAATCCGTACATCAGCTACCAGCGCATCAAGACGCCCGCCGGCGGCGAGGCCATCGTGCCCGTCTGCAAGGATCCGTACTGCCCCGGCTGCCCCTACTCCGCACACACGCAACAGATGCTGATGGGCGCCCCCTGCCCGGCCGGCTGCACCCAGTGCGAGCACCAGAAGTACGGCATGGCCATGGCCAGCGCCGGACTCCCGCAGGCGCATCCCTACTCTCAGGCGGCGGCTGCCGCAGCTGCCAATGCGGCCGCCGCCCGCTCGGCGCCCTACGTCTGCAGCTGGGTGGTGGGCGACGCCTACTGCGGCAAGCGCTTCCAGACCTCCGACGAGCTCTTCACCCATCTGCGCACCCACACGGGCAACCTCTCCGATCCGGCCGCCGCTGCCGCCGCGCTCGCCCAGTCGCAGGCCCAATCCCTGCTCGGCACACTCTTTCCGCCCTCGGCCCTGCGCGCTGGCTACCCAACGCCGCCGCTCAGCCCCATGTCCGCCGCCGCAGCAGCGGCCCGCTATCATCCGTACGGCAAGCCGCCGGGCGCCATGGGCGGTGCCCCCTCGCCCTTTGGCGCCGCCGGCGCCTTCAACCCGGCCGCCGCGGCTGCTGCAGCTGCTCTGGGTCCCTACTACTCTCCGTATGCCATGTACGGGCAGCGCATGGGCGCAGCTCATCAATAAGAAACTGGAGAAACCAAAAAGAGATAGAGAAGAGAGAGGAGGAGAGGGAGGCGAGGGAGGCGAGCCACAGCCTCGCTTTGGGGATGCTAAAGACGCTGGCAGCGGCGTTCGCTGTTCTGTGATACTAAACTGTAGATTTGTCGAGGCGCTACTTACATTTAAGTTTCGGATTAACCCACAGATACAACAACAACAACAACAACAACAACCACTACGACAACAACAACAAAGAATCCAAAAGCAACAACTTAATTATATATATACATCCAGCACATACATATATATATATATATATATATATATAAATATTCTCGAGAAGTTTAATGAAGGATTTCTGTCAAATCAAATCAAATGTTTTGTTTTGTTAATTAATTTAATTATCTGATATATATTTTAAGACATCAAAGTTTGTTCTCAAAGTTCAACCAAAGTTTTCTCTGACTTCCAGTTCTAACTAAATGCGATCCATATATATGGATCGTATCGTATGAAAATCGTATGTTTATCAGGTTTTGTTTACACACCTTAGCGATACTTAAGCTTTGTTTAATTTTAGTACTTGTTTAGAGCCTAACCTAGTTCTTAGCCATTCGCATATAACTATGGATAATAATACGATTACAAATTCAATAAGCTCTTAAGTCATCTATCATATAATATACATATAATAAAAAATTATATTACAAAAATACAACAAAATCAACTCTTCTCATTTCTTCACACAAACGAATATAAGATTGATATCTTAAAAAAAAAATATTAATTCCCAATAGCAACGACACTTAAAGTGCGCAGTAAATAAATAAAATTCACAATGAAAAATTGAGGGGAATAAAAACTTTTTATATTAATATACAAAATTCCATTAGTCTTAATTTATTTATTTGTTTATAGACTTGTTGCTTCTGCGTCTGCCAGTCCGCACTTGACTGATGTGTGCGCGTACTTTTGGCACCGACTGTGTGAGCATCCATCAATGTAGGGTCTTCAAGCAAGCGAAAAATATCATTTTTATTTCATTAATATCCCAGATATTTCAGAAATTATTACGGAAAAGTCAAGCTGAAATTATTTTTATGAATTTATTTGTATTTATATATATTGCCATGATCATATATACATATATGCATTACATATAAAGATTATTCGAAACAATGAAAACAAAAAAAGACGTACAACTTGTCTTTTTTGTTCGATCTTATAAAGAGTATATTTTATATTCTGTGACAGGAAACTTTTCAAGATCAGCGCTGATTATTTTGAGCACTCTCTGAGGCTGATAAAGCTTTGTCATTCTGATGTTATTTTCATTAAAATGTAGATAATACCTAAGAAATGTTCGGCTAAATTCGGCAAGAATAGATTAGTACGATATGAAAGCGAGATATCCAATATTCCCAGGCCTTCGTTTGAATGATATGATATGCTAAGCGAAAAGGGATTCATATAGTTTCAAGGAAAGCACAAACCATATCATAACTGCAAATATACATCAATAAATTTCAGCTTATATGGGCAAAGTTGTTCTTCTTCTCCAGAATCCTTTAAGAAACTCAAATGTTTCTAACTACTTCACAAACTATCTGGAAGGCTAGCAATGCCTAATCATAGAGTCACATAGAATTCGTAGAGCGAATAAAAAAACTTAAACTGTGTTTATATACAGCTATATATTATATGTGTGTTTATATATAGGTATATATTATAACTATATGAAATTGTGTATATTTTATATATTATATTTAAGTGGAATATTAATTAAGTATTAAAAGTCAAATAGGTTTGATTGCCTTGTGGCATTGTGCATGATTGATTGATTGATAGCGTTTATTTTTCCGTGTATAATATATACTTAGAGCTAAAGACAGCTAATTTCCTTATCAGGCAAGCTCTAATGTAATTGAAAAGTAAACAAATACCGTAAGAGTAAATTACTTAAGAGGTATTGCGAATTGGGGTCACTGTTTTTTAAGAGCTTTACAAATACTTTTGATAGATAATTGAAAGGAATTTAGCGAAATATATGACCTATATATACCGTTGCCAATATATTATGTAAGCTATATATTTAACATATATTGACTGTGTTCAATGACTAGGAAAATAGCCATAGAATCGGAAGAATACTAAAAAGCATTTATATATTAAGTGTACTATATTTACATGTATTATTATTACTTCTTTATCATATAGGAAATTAACTAAATTTTCTTATTTAAATACACATATATGAGGTGGGAATACTCTATTGATTTTCTTCAATCTCATTTGTCCTTAACTGGCTGAGTAAAAATTATTTTACCCGAACTGATATCAACAGAATCAAGCACAAAAACTTCGCTTCTCTCTCTCGATTATATTACAACACCTCCGCCGTAGATCAAATGGAATCATTAGGTATAGGCGCGTAGCTAATTGGAAAATTACTATATCTTTCATAATTTATCCGCAGAACGAGTTTCGATGCTGTCGCATTGTTGACCTCCGCCTTCGATAGACCCATTAATAACATGCTCAGCCAATGCGACTGTCAAGATCTGTGTATTTAACATAATTCTGTAGTATATTCCTCATACCGATTGCACATGCTGAATCGCTTGTTAATCAATGAGTTTTCTGACTGTCCGAGATAATTCCTAGCTAAATCATACTGAATCGAAGTATTTGCAATCCAATGAACTAAGCTGCGGCCGACAGCTGTTGATTGGAATGGATGATACGCCATCTATTATAGCTCTCGATTGGCGCTCGATTTGTAGGCGATCGTCTTGAATTTAAAAGTCAAATCGCAATCAGAAGTCGATGCTGCGTTTCGTATATTCGTATTTTCGTATTTGATATTTCGTATGCCAGTTGCAACAATTTTTGAGCCCATAACATTTGAATTTCATGAGCTGCGGCTGATCGGGGCACAGCAAGAGGGCGCAATGTGGTGTGCGGGGTGTACGGGGAGGCGTCGCGTAGAGGTGGGCGCGGCATTTGCGCAAGCGTTTGACAAACTCTCAGCGGCAGCCATAAAACACCCAGGCAGAAATTAAAAATCAATAAAATCGAATACATTTAACCAATTGACATTCAATGAGCAGCGCACAGCAAAAAGAAAAAAACAAAAACAAAAACTGAATAAAAAATAATAAAAAAGTACAAATGAAATGCCACTTGGCCGCAATTATCGTTCCCCAGCCCAGTCGGGCTTACATATCTGTTAAGTAAATTAATTGTGACAATATTCAATTGATTTGATTTAAAATTATCGCCATCAGCTGTCAGGCGAGCAACGAGCTACGATTTTTCAATTGATTTTGCTATAGTTCTTTCGATTGCCCCTATGCAGATACGTATGTACATATAGTAATTGGACAATCGGAATGGGCAAACAGTGCGACCTTATTTTTAGTTTATTTTCTGTTTCTGTTGCCCTTATCAAAAGTCTATCAAATGTTTCATTACGCTTGTTATTGACATAAAAGTAATTTCTCTATCAAATAGTTAAACTCTATATACATAGATTATATTGTCAGCTCTTGTACAACTCGCCCTCTCTCTAAATACCCTAAGCCAAATAGCGTATTTACTATTCGACTTCAAGTTTTTTGTGGTTCTCTACTTGACTGTTTTTTTTCTTGCTCTGATTTACAGTAATAATTTTTTTGATTGTTCAATTTCTGTTGAAAGATCTGTTGATCGTGTTTTTATTGCTGTCGTATTTTTACTGTTGTTGCCCATATCATTGTTGTCGTTGTTGTTGTTGTTGCTTGTGCGCTGTCTTCCATTTTGATTTTGTGTTGTTCCAAATTGAATTTATTTACATGCATCATATTTCTTTCGCATTGTTGTGTTGTCCATGTTAAACAATTTGTTTTGTTGTCAACACTCAAGAGCAGCAGCAGAGACAGAAACAATAACAGCAACAACAACAAGCGCTAGACGAGCGGCATGGCAACTTTTTGTGCTATAAATAGACTGGCTTTGCTTTGCTTTTTCTCTGCTCAAGTGCTTGTTGCTGCCTATCTTGGTGCATTGGAGTAGAGAGAGCCGCGTAGAGTTGGTCTTGCCTCTTTGGCTCTCTCGCTCCCACAATGGGGCCTCTCTTGCACTTCTTTTGGCTGCATGTCTTGTGATCTCTCTTTGCGCTGCTTTTATATTGAAATTGTTTGACTTCAGGCAGCTGGCTCGTTGGTCTAGGGGTATGATTTCCGCTTAGGGTGCGGGAGGTCCCGGGTTCAAATCCCGGACGAGCCCAAGGCAAAAAATGCTTTTTTAAAAATGTAATTAAATTAATTTTTATTAAATATTTTTTAATATTCATTGATAATACTTATATCTCAAATATAGAGTGAAAGAAAATATACTTACTATAAAATCAGAACAATCAACAACTTGAGTTCTATTTCTGACACACACACTTTACGATTACCGAAAATAAATATCACTTCATCGAAAATGTGACTCGATTTATGGACAATTTGCTCTATATTCTTACGTACGAGTCTTGTGATTCAACAATATAGAATGATATCACAATTGCAAAGTGAAGGCCCGGTAGTGCTTTATGGCCACCATGAAATTAACCATAATCGATCGGCTGTGATTTTGAAAAGATATTTTGATATTCCTCTTTATGCCCCGGCATTAGGAACATTATTTATGGCAGCCCCATACTAACAAGTCATATATGCGCTCTAACTTATGGCTATATGGCAATAAAATCTATTTTATTGGCTTGCTCGCATATAGATGTTACGATTAAACAGTGCGAGGAGCTGACCATAATTTATAATCACAACAAACAAGTAGTGGTAGTGCGCTGAACGAATGGCAAATACCCTCTAAAATAATTATCTCACTAGATAGCTGAACTTTCATAAGAAATCTGTACTATTATCCTATGTAGACAGTACTTTCTTTAGTTTGTGAAATGAATTCATAAAGATGGTGCTATAAGATGTCTAAATTTATTGGAAGGGTACTCGCTCGATGAGCTTGGAAAAAACGAGTTTAATCGTGCATTTGATTCGCTCCATTGCGATCATATAAATCGTGGCGACGATCATATAAAACTTGATTGTTGACAATGCCTTGCCGTGATTTTTAGTACAGCTGAATCGAATTGATATAGCGTCACGGCGACAGCTTGACATTTAAGATCTGATGATTTACTCGCGGCCTGCCAGGCTGATTTATGAGGTGTCGCTTTAGATTAGCGACTGACTCTTCGGGTTCAAATTGTTGCTTATGTAAGTGATAAGCCCGCCTCTTGAGCGATTTAAAATACATTTGCTATTTGTATACACTTGCTGTCGGAATTAGACATTCTTGTCACGAGTCGAGCGACCCACATAAATGATCCAAATCGAATCATATATCAAATGCTCAAATGGACAATATCACAGTAATATATAACTGTTGATGTCTATGAAATAGGCAACGGAAATAGAGTTCGATTCCATGAAAAGCCTTCATGAACGTCTGTCTATATCAGTATATAACTGTTCTGAATTGCTCACAATGTTTTTATTCATTTTAAACAATATAAAATATAATATAAAATAATAATTAAATATCTTACTGCTAATAATCAATGAATGAACTTAGTAATTCATTATAACGAACTCGATCAATCCATATCTAATGCTGAATCATTTCCCACCCAATTGCTTTTCATATTCATATTTACTTTTGTCTCAGCTCCAGCTTACCTCGGCTCACCGAACTCGCATTGTTCTCGAAATACAATCCCATTTCTATGACTGTATAAATTTAACCAAGGACATATATCCTTGGCTCAATTGACAGCTGTTGCCCCTGTTCGGAGCCTGAGCCCTCCATAAATTATATGGCCAGATGATGAGTGATGTCAGCATAGTCGTCGCAGCTAATTAACAGCTTTGTTATAAATTACGTCAAAGTCATTAAAATGTTCGTGTTTGCCCTCCTGGAGGGGCGTCAATCATGCGTGTCGCAGCCAGACGCAGGGCATGCAGCTAATCGACTAGCGGATACATTTGTATCTTTTAGTTGTTGCTCAAGTGGCGATGCTGCCGCCGCTGTCAACTCCTTGATCATTTTTCTGTGTAATTCTTGAGAGAGACACCCCCGCTGCGAAGATGTTGTGACATTGTTGCTGCTGTTGCTGCTGCTGGTGCTGTTGCTGGTGCTGCTGTTGTTTTTAATATTTATGGCTTCCTCGTGTCATTTTTATAATGTTTCGCTTGACACTTTCCCTTTTGGCTAGCATCGGAGCTGGCGTTCGTATGGGCGGTCGCTCGATGTTTTGTGCCGATGTTAATATTAATTTTAGTCTCTTTTTTGTCAAGTGACATTTGTAGCTGACACGACAACAGCGGCGACTGTCAACAAGCACTTGGCAGGCATTATTTTCATATTTTTACCAGAGCGAGGTATCTGCGAGATAGAGATACTTGGTTTCCTGAGCATAAAAATCCGCATTGAATATCTGAATAATATAATATGTATACATAAATATATAAATATATGTGGCGATAAGGGCGAGTGCAGCCTTTGTCACGTAACAGGGAATAAAATATAGCATTATTTTATACACACATTAAGATATATTTGGCTGTGGGTAAGTCAGGAAAATTTAGGGCTCTGCAAGGCCTTTACTGCGACATAAATACTTCAGCTGCTGTGATTATTGCCACGGCTGGCACCTATAACCCACCCACCTCAGGCGAGAAATACTTTTGGCCACGTTGGCGGCTCAAATTGACACTTCAAAGGTGCCGCCGACAGTTTTTGGAACTACCTCCGTAATATATTATTGATAGATGGACAGATAGAGATTGTCGATAGATATATGAGCACGTATCGCTGCTGGTCAGTGGCTAAATTGTTTTGCTTTGACTGCCAGCCTGCCTGTCCACACATTTAGCCATAATAAATAATATGGCAGCGCAAGGCCTCGGGGGCTTATGCAGTTCCTTAAGGGACTTAGATTCGATAGGCTTACTTTGCATTTGTAATTTATATAGCTCTTTGGAAATCGGGTCAATTTTAGAGTTGATAGTGATATGAGTGTATACAGATACAGTTACAGTTACAGGCACAGATACAGATACAGATACAGATACAGATACAGATACAGATACAGATACAGATACAGAT